ACGTTTACATTACATTTAAACAGAAATGGTGAATTAATAAAATTCTGAAGTGTAGTGAACCTTTAAAGAGTGGCGGGATGGAGACTCCACCCAGACAGCAGACTCGGTTTCTGGTTGGACCACCTGAAGTCTGACCCTGATCTGTCCCTGATTTAGACCCGCACACTGCTTGTGGATTGGCTGCAGACAGAAATACATAAAAAACTGATCACACAAAGGATTTCAAGAAGCTTTAGTTTGAGTTCAATTGCATGTATCAAATCTGAATCATTTCGAATCCCAGAGCACTTTTCAACATTTGTTTTTGACATAAGTACTTTGATCTTTAGCTTAGTAAGTAAACATACAGTGTAGAAATACAAAACAAATAAGTAACAGTAGAGACAACAACCAAAGGGTTCATTTTAGACACTATGGAACTATACTGAATAATCTGTTTTCTGCTTCCAGTGATGCTAACTGCTAACTGCTAACATCAATGTTTTCTAAATTGCTCTTTGCTAATCAAAAGCTGTGAGAAAATCATGTGTTTGTGTCAACCTTGGAGAATCTTGGCATTTTACCAACCAGGACCCGGACCCAAAATGTAACCATGAACCTTCCGCTAACAGTGCTGGAGCTAAACGTGTAAAGTTTTTCCTAAGGGTGGCGCTCGAGGAAAGCTTACGGGTCATTGGATTGAGGAACAGAAATGAGATCAGGACAAACCTGTCATTACTGAGATACTCCGCAGGTTGTGATGATCTGGTTGAAATTGCAATAATAGCAGTAGTGCTGGCAGTTATAAGTCATAAGCCCCTTTTCCATTACCAGTACCAGCTCAACTTTCTGTCGCTGGCCTCTGTCCGGCGCACGCAATGATGATGCAGTGAATAGTGACGATTCTCTCCGACTTATCAGCATTCTGCTCTGTGGAACCTCGACGGAGGTGATACGAAGAAAAGTACCTGGAAGCAGGTACAGGTGCAACTTTTCCACAGTGGAAAACCAAAGGCAAAGGCGAGTCGAGGCGAGTCGAGCTGGTTCCATGCGGTGGAAAAGGGGCTATAGTTGCGGTGGTAGAATAAGTACCATTGATAACTAACTACTTTGCACGCAGCAGCAGTACCTGGTGTTAACACCACTATCCGAAGCTGCCGGGCTCTCTCCAGCTCCAGGTGGAAGGCGTGGTTTAATGAGAGGGCGGAGCCTCGCAGCGTCAGGAGGGCAGTCCTCGCTCTCGTCACCCCATCGATCTGGATGGCCAGGAAGACCTCCTTACTGTCCTCTGACCTGAGAGGCGAGACAGGGACAGAAAGGGAGTCACTTTTCAAAACTGAGCCATCATTACCCAACGTGTTTCAGCATCTTAACCAACAACAGGGGAGGCTTGTTGGTCTCTGGTGTCCTGAACATAACTGTGACAAGGAAAACGACAGTTCCACTGAAGATTACTGAGTTGTAAAGAGTTAGGAGCTATTTCAAACAGCTCTGCTTCCTGCAGTAAAACCACATTCATTTTTCTTATAGACAATGTTCAGTGACTCACAGTTGGAGCTCTTGGATTAGAATGAAACCCTCCTGGTCGAATCATCATTACAAAATATTAACGTAGTTGACTTCTCCACTCCTGAAGATTATATCGACACAGTCTTGGTAGAATGTGCCAACAATGTGCAAACAGTCAGAGCAACATCTATTTTCTTTATGCAGCCTCTTTTGAAAAGTTACTGTTACTAATAATACATTTTTCTATCATATTCAAGAAAGCTTCCAAACAGGAAGAACTAATCCTAGCCCTACAGCTGCCCAGAGACTGCAGTTAAAAACTGGCACCTTTGAACAGAAATGTCTGTTCCTGTAACTTTAAAATGTATAAACAAAGTAAACTGAAGTCACATTTCTACTTGTTATACATATCATCAATCATTTACTTCCAGGACCTCTGTGGGAAATTCAGTTAATAATCAACTGCAACCATTTAGCAAGTATTAACTTATATTAGCTGCTCTTAAGCTGATGATACACGGGGCAACTTTTTGAGCAATGTTGCTGGGCAATATTTGCTAGTGGCAAGTCCGACTATGTTTTGAACGGATAGTGATGGTGCTGGGTGGGTCGTGGAGTGGTGGGGGAAGGGGATTACGGTAATATTCTTTACTCATTACCATTGACGGCAACGTTGCCCTGCACGATTGCTCTAGAAGTTGCTCCGTGTATCACCAGCTTTAGCTAGTACCAGGTGTGGTGGTTATGCATTCCTACCTGCTGGTCTTCATCTCCTCCAGGCCCATCAGATGGACAGTCAGTAAACCCGTCACCCGCTGGCTGCATCGTTGTGGATCGGAGCCCACGTACAATCGGAAAGAGCTGACGTCGCATGCCGTTTCCTGGGAAGTTGTAAGGGGAAGGGCCGGTTGCCGTGGGAGCAGCTCGGGGGAGTCCCCATCACTAAGATAACCTAAAACGAAGGTTTACATTCTGGTTGTTTAACTGATGGGATCATACTGTGAGCAGGTTCATGCTTTGCTCCAGGACTCGTGAACGGGCTCAAACCTCTGGCCCAAGACATCCTCCAGAGGATTAAGACAACACCCACCAAGAAGAACCAGCTGCTGGAAGTCTAGATGGAAATTCTAAACTCTGTGCCTGTGCACATGGCCGCGTACGTGTAAGTTAATTATCCCAGTCTAATTTAAACAAATTTCTTTGTGTTTATATTAACCTATTAACCTGCATGTTTCACACGGGGAGAACATGGGGATGACCAAGGTTTGAATCCCAGACCTTCTTGCTGTGAGGCGAAAGTGTTAACCACTGCACCACCTTGTTAATTGACAAAAATCCAGCCCGTTTTCATCTCAGGGTGTCCAATACCAACGAATCAGAAAAAGTGACAAAACATAGTTAAAGGGTACTATTAGTGTCTGTGTGAGACACACGGGTGCGTCTCTATGAGACGCTCAGGGACATCCTGTACTTTTGTGTTAAAGGTGTTGACAGCCCCTCGAAGCCCGTACCCTTACCATAACCATCAGAAATGTTATTACCTAAACCTAAGTCACTGACTTTATGCATGTAAACCCTACAGCTAACAGGTAGGGTTAGCAACGGGGACGTTTCATACAGACGCTGAAGGGTACCTTTAGCGTAAAATCCTTACCCTTTGTCACGCTCTCGAAAAGCGTCAGTTATGACGCATTGAGATGAGAATGTGTTGGATAAAACGTATTTTAAAACATTCTTACTTTACTCCCAAATACAGCTACTTCAGCAAGCTGCCAGAGTAGCCTCCATAGGGCCTGTCCCATGTGAGCAGATCAGCCAAAGTTATGCTCAAACTAAAAGAGTATGAATAATATAAAACTGAAAAATGAATTTCTAATCTGTTTTCCAATATATAAATGTTTATGTCCCTCTAGGCATCGTTAGACCTGTTACAAACATGTTGACAGTTCACCTCCTTTACTGGCGGAGCGCCCTCTTGATGATCGTCGCAGCGGTCTGGTTGGAGGGGCGGAGCTATCCAGGTGATATCTGCTGATCACATTCTGGTTGGACAAGGCAGACGACGATGAGGTATTTTTACTGGCTGACTCATCCCCACCCCCTCTGCTGTCATTTCCCTGGCGAAGGGCACGAGACGAGGAGCGAAGGCTGAGTTTGCGGCGCAGTTCAGGAAGTTTCTTCATCTTTAGGGAGAGTTTCCTCACTGTACCAGGAGACCTCAGCCTGTCAATCACACTACCAGACACGCCCACTTTCTTTTGGGAGGCGGGGCTAGAGTCTGAAGGCTGGGAGTCTGAGGGAGAGAGAGACTTTTTCCTGAAACTGTTGGCCAACAGAGTGACCCAGGTAATTTCAATCAGATTAAGTGAAAACCTGGAACAGTGTGGTGTGGTATGTAAGAGAAACTGAACACAATATAAGAAGAAATGTAGAATCAGTAGGTGCAGTCATGTCTTCTTACCTGTGTTTTCTGTTGTGATGTCATCAGTGTGGTGGCTGACACTTGGATTGGCGCCCTCCAGTAGACAGTCACTGCTACGACTCTCTGCTGGCCCGACCCACACTCGTCCGAGCTCTGCTCTTTTATCTCCGGGAATCTTTGATGCTCCTCCGTCACCGCTCTCATCCCTCTTCCTCCATATCTCCTCCTCTCTGTGTGGACCTCCTGCATCCTCCTCCTCAGGGATCGGGTTGTACCAGATGTTGCTGCCGCTATCCTCCTGAAGCCTATAGGCCTCATCTGAAGCCTGGATCTTTCCTGAAGACAGCACCCAGGCTCGGCTGCTGCGATCCAGACTTTGCAGATACGCACGCTGGCCAGACTTGGTGCTGACAGAGGTAGCGGGCACGTCAGGGGGGCCCCCTGCTGGCTCGGGAGCTTCCTGGTGGACTGCCGTAGAACTGACAGGAATACAGGGGGTGCTGGTCATATCCCAGGCCAGACTGACACTCACCCTGTCGCCACACTGCTCTGTCTGGGAGCAGAACAAGAGGTGGGAGTCATACCAAAAGGAGGACTCAAACTATGAGGTGGAAAACATGAAGACATGGTCAAACTAAAAGGACACAACAAGAAGGAGGAGTCGAACTATGAGGTGGAAAACACAAAGACATGGTCAAACTAAAAGGACACAACAAGAAGGAGGAGTCGAACTACCAGGATTAGTACACGAAGACGCTGTCAAACTAAAAGGACAGAACAAAAAGGAGGAGTCAAACTACCAGGAGGAGTACACGAAGACATGGTCAAACTAAAAGGACAGAACAAGAAGGAGGAGTCAAACTACCAGGAGGAGTACACGAAGACATGGTCAAACTAAAAGGACAGAACAAGGAGGAGTCAAACTACCAGGATTAGTACACGAAGACGCTGTCAAACTAAAAGGACAGAACAAGAAGGAGGAGTCAAACTACCAGGAGGAGTACACGAAGACGCTGTCAAACTAAAAGGACAGAACAAGAAGGAGGAGTCAAACTACCAGGAGGAGTACACGAAGACGCTGTCAAACTAAAAGGACAGAACAAGAAGGAGGAGTCAAACTACCAGGAGGAGTACACGAAGACATGGTCAAACTAAAAGGACAGAACAAGAAGGAGGAGTCAAACTACCAGGAGGAGTACACGAAGACATGGTCAAACTAAAAGGACAGAACAAGAAGGAGGAGTCAAACTACCAGGAGGAGTACATGAAGACATGGTCAAACTAAAAGGACAGAACAAGAAGGAAGAGTCAAACTACCAGGAGGAGTACACGAAGACGCTGTCAAACTAAAAGGACAGAACAAGAAGGAAGAGTCAAACTACCAGGAGGAGTACACGAAGACGCTGTCAAACTAAAAGGACAGAACAAGAAGGAGGAGTCAAACTACCAGGAGGAGTACACGAAGACATGGTCAAACTAAAAGGACAGAACAAGAAGGAGGAGTCAAACTACCAGGAGGAGTACACGAAGACATGGTCAAACTAAAAGGACAGAACAAGAAGGAGGAGTCAAACTACCAGGAGGAGTACATGAAGACATGGTCAAACTAAAAGGACAGAACAAGGAGGGGTCAAACTACCAGGAGCAGGATAAGGAGGGGAGAACATGTAGAAATACTGGTCAAACTTCCAGAACAAGAACAAGAATTCAGTCTTCACTGGCCTGAAACACATTTACATGAAATAAATGAATTTTAATCACAGGGAATTAAAGAACCATATTGTACCTTATCCTGTACTAGTCTCTGACTCCAGGCCTGCCCAGATGCATCTTGGGATGTCCCTGATGGTCGTTCCCGGTCAGAGGGTCTGGGGGCAGAACCTGAGGGCAGGACGCTGGGCGGTGCCACGGAGCCCTGCCGTGCCCACGACTGTTTCTTAGCAACTGTGATGTGGTTATGTGGGGGTGAGGGGGGGTCAGGGTCTGCTGCTGGTGGAGGTCTTGTTGTCGTCATCGGTGGTGATGATGATGACGATGAAGGCGTCTGGAGCACAGTGTCGTTCTTTACTGGAACATCTGCAGAGTACACACACACAGCTGCTATTAGCATTCTCATGGTTGGATTAAATCCTGCGTGTGGTGTGAAGAAACTTGAGGAGGGAGAGAGAAGGAATTCAGTGGTGAGTTACTTGTCTTGTGGGTCTTTGCTGCTGTCTCACTCTTTTGGTTCCTATGTGGCAGTTCGTTAAAAACAAAACTACAGCATGTGAGTGCTTCCTTCGTGACCGGAGAACACATCAATGTATTTACTGACCTAGATCATGTCCATCAGTTTTCAGTCAACACAAACACCTTGGAACAGAAAAAAACTAAACTACAACCAACCAACCACTGAGCCGTAAACACACATGCTCACATCGGTGAACTCGAAATCTGTTTAAACAAGTGAAAAAGCCAGAACCTTATCAGGTTACTGACTTCTGAGTGGTGTTGTTGGTGACTGACCAGTGCAGATCTCCTCAGCTTCCACCTGAGCAGCCTCCACAGTCTGTGTCTGTAGGTTTGATCGGAAATGTGCTGTGAATGAACAGGATATGTTACTGCTTCCCTGCCCAGCAGCCTCGGCTTTAAACTTACTGGGTTTGACTCGCGTTCCTGGCTGAGGCGATACAAAGTGATGTTCTCTGTGCTGTGTTTATGAAACCACAGAGTGTCACAGCACACATTCCCATATATTCACATATCGACGCCTGATCAAGTGCCCTTGGCATTGCTTTTTAACGTCCTGGGTACTCTTTACTGTCGTTTTTGGACATTTAGGGTTAAAGATGGCAAGAATAAAAATGCAACGTCCGGTTAAGACTTTCAGAATAAAAGTACTTCTTAATATTGCAAAACAATGCAAAGTTAATGGCAAGTTGTGAAACGTCATAGTTTGGTTAGGTTTAGGAAAAGACCAGGGTTTGGGTTAAAGTAACTACGTGACTTAAAAACATTTGACCTTTTATTTCAAGAGGCAAACGAACAACGGTCTCCTGGGTGCAAGTCCGATATCTGGCCCACCTTGCACCCCACCACGTCCTTACTCTGACTTTGCTGTTAAATATGCTTCACCTGCCTTACAGGGCTTCCCTCAGAGCGTTACAAACCGACAGCAAGAGGTATTGACCAGGCATTTATATGTGACGACTGAGAACGGGTCGGACAGTACAGATGGGGGTTTAGCTCATGAAGCATCAGTCTGGACTCTGGTCCGAGATGTCAGCCTGTCCTGCTGCACACGCTGGTCATTATTGATCAGCTGTAATCCCATCAACTGTTACTGCTGAAACACACTGGAAACTTTAAAGCAGCAATTATAACCAGATTGACTGTCTCACATCCTGAACATCTGGATTTATGTCTTCTAGCTCTCTGCTTCCTGTGTGTGTGTCCTCGTGATACACAGCGTGCAGACTGTCTGCCTGAGCTGCATGAATAAACCCTCTGTGTGTTTGTGCTTTAGTGAATCTGATGACGCTGTTAGCTGATTTAATATCACACAGGTGGTGATTTTAGATAATCCTGCTCTCTGATTGGCTGGAGTCTGTTTTGGTGTTACATGTGTCACCTGATGAAGGGGAGTCCAGTGTTCTCTCTGTGTTAGCTCTGAAGTGGAAATATCTGGCTGTGTAGCTGCTGAACGCTGCACTGTGTTTACTAGCTGTTCTCTGAGTCTGTCTGCAGGTGTGGTCTGTGGCTACTCCCTGAAACTCAAACTGCTGTGATTGGCTACAGGTCCAGACAGGAAGTGATACTCTCCAGAGGTCGACCTCCACTTCCTGTCATCTGAATGAAGCTAAAGAGGAGCTGACTGTGAGTGTTTGTGTGTGATGATAATAATAAATCATCTGTTATTTTTTTAGAAACCTGAGAAAAGAGAAGGGGGGGTGAATAAACAGCTGTGACTCTGCAGAGGTCAATGAACTCTGTGTTTAAGGCCAAACACACTGCTGTCTATTCACTATTCACTAGTCTTAAAATACACAGAAACACACAAAGACTGCAGTCAGCACACACACACACACACACAGCATGATCCACAGACAAGGCGAGCTTTAAGAGTCGATGGCGTCCTGAACAGTTTGTGTTTCATACTGAGTGTGTGTGTCTTGAATCTTCACTCAGTCCAACTTACTGTAACATCACATCATCAGGGAGAGATAAACAGGAAGTAACCACACACACAAACACACACAGGTCTAATGACAGGAAGTGGTCAGCTGACCCAGTCAGTCTGCAGGAAGCTGAACATTAAACCTTCCAGATTACAGACGGTCTGTGACTGAGCAGCTCTGAGAAACGTGGTGAAATATGTAAAAGCTTAAAAAACAGTTCAGCGTTTCATTCTGTCTATGGAAGGACAGAAACACATGGAGGGGAATTAAACTCTTTCTACAAATCAGTCTGCAGGCATTTACAATCTATCCGGATTGATTTTGCAAAATCCCACAAAATCTGGATCCGAGTCACATTTGGAGCTGGTTTGAAATGCGATTCCAGTCGGGTTTCACAGGTGCGCCTCAGTATGAACGCTCAAATCAGATTCCAGCGCTTCACACAGCGACGTCGTAAGATCCAGAGTGATGGAGAGCGTCAGAACGGTGGATCAGCACTCCTGGGTCACTGAGTTTGTCTGCTGCGACGGAGGAGTTCTGAGTGGACGTGTTGGTTAGAGCTGCCGTGCCCTATAAAAACAAACCAATTTTTATTTTGCTGTTCTCGTGAAGCATTGCCTGATGTGAACCGTGCCTCGAACAAAAGACCTCTCAGAAGACCTCAGATTAAGAACTTGTTGACTTGCATGAAGCTGGAAAGGGTTACAGAAGTATCTCTAAAAGTCCTGATGTCCATCACTCCACTTTAAGACAAACTGTCTATAAATGGAGAAAGTTCAGCACTGTGGCTGCTCTCCATAGGAGACGCCGTCCTGCAAAGATGACTGCACGAGCACAAAACAGAATGATCAATGAGGTTAAGAAGGATCTTAGAGTGTCACAGAAATATCTGGAACATGCTAACATTTCTGTTGACGACTCTATGATATGTAAAAAAACAAGAATAGAGTTCATGGTAGAGGAAGCCTCTGTTGTCCAAAAAATCATTGCTGCATGTCTGAAGTTTGCAAAAGAGGAAGGAAAAAGGCACAGCACACCAACATCAAAACCTCATCCCAACTGTGAGGTATGGTGGAGGGGGCATCATCACCGCCAGTTGAAACTTAAGGTTGGTGATGCCGCAGGACAATGACCCAAAGCACAGAAGTAAATCAACAACAGAATGGCTTCAGCAGAAGAAAATACACCTTCTTGAGTGGCCTAGTCAGAGTCCTGACCTCGGCCCGACTGAGGTGAACTGATCTGTAAAGAGGAATGGTCCAAAATTCCTCCTGACCGTTGTTCAGGTCTGATCTGCAGGAATGTTTGTTTGACGTTATTGCTGCCGAAGGAGGGTCAACCGGTGATTAAATCCAAGGACTCATTTTCCACCCTGCACTGTTTGTTCAATAAAAACATGAAAACATATAATTGCTTGCGTGGAGTTAGTTTAAGCAGACTGCGTTTGTCTGTTGTGACACAGATGAAGATCAGATCACATTTTATTACCAATTTCTGCAGAAATCCAGGTGACACGCTTGAAATGGTACATCTACTGTTTAAATGTTAGCCTAGCTTTGCACAAAGACTGGTAGCACGGGGAACTGTTAGTCTGCATACAGCTGGACAGTGTGATGCTGATAAAGGACAGCCAGGCCTGCAGCCAGGCCAGAGACTCGGTACCAGCAGAGACTCGGTACTCAGCAGTGATTTGGTACCAGCAGACTTGGTACCAGCAGAAACTCTGTACTCAGCAGAGGCTCAGTACTCAGCAGAGACTTGGTACCAGCAGAGACTCTGTACTCAGCAGAGATTTGGTACCAACAGAGACTCTGTACTCAGCAGAGACTCTGTACTCAGCAGAGACTTGGTACCAGCAGAGACTCTGTACTCAGCAGAGACTCTGTACTCAGCAGAGGCTCAGTACTCAGCAGAGACTCTGTACTCAGCAGTGACTTGGTACCAGCAGAGGCTCAGTACTCAGCAGAGATTTGGTACCAACAGAGACTCTGTACTCAGCAGAGACTCTGTACTCAGCAGTGACTTGGTACCAGCAGACTTGGTATCAGCAGAGACTCTGTACTCAGCAGAGGCTCAGTACTCAGCAGAAACTTGGTACCAGCAGTGACTTGGTACCAGCAGACTTGTACCAGCAGAGACTCTGTACTCAGCAGAGGCTCAGTACTCAGCAGAGACTTGGTACTCAGCAGTGACTTGGTACTCAGCAGAGACTCTGTACTCAGCAGAGACTCTGTACTTCAGCAGAGACTTGGTACCAGCAGAGACTCTGTACTCAGCAGAGGCTCAGTACTCAGCAGTAACTTGGTACTCAGCAGAGACTTGGTACTCAGCAGTGACTTGGTACTCAGCAGTGACTCGGTACTCAGCAGTGACTTGGTACTCAGCAGAGACTCTGTACTCAGCAGAGACTCTGTACTTCAGCAGTGACTTGGTACTCAGCAGTGACTTGGTACTCAGCAGAGACTCTGTACTCAGCAGAGATTTGGTACCAGCAGAGACTCTGTACTCAGCAGTGACTCTGTACTCAGCAGTGACTTGGTACTCAGCAGTGACTCTGTACTCAGCAGTGACTTGGTACTCAGCAGAGATTTGGTACCAGCAGAGACTCTGTACTCAGCAGAGACTCTGTACTCAGCAGTGACTCGGTACTCAGCAGTGACTTGGTACTCAGCAGTGACTTGGTACTCAGCAGTGACTTGGTACTCAGCAGAGACTCTGTACTGCAGTGACTTGGTACTCAGCAGAGATTTGGTACCAGCAGAGACTCTGTACTCAGCAGTGACTTGGTACTCAGCAGTGACTTGGTACTCAGCAGAGACTCTGTACTCAGCAGAGACTCTGTACTTCAGCAGAGACCTGATACCAGCAGAGACTCTGTACTCAGCAGAGACTCTGTACTCAGCAGAGGCTCTGTACTCAGCAGAGGCTCAGTACTCAGCAGAGACTTGGTACTTCAGCAGAGACCTGGTACCAGCAGAGACTCTGTACTCAGCAGAGACTCTGTACTCAGCAGAGACTCTGTACTCAGCAGAGACTCTGTACTCAGCAGAGGCTCTGTACTCAGCAGAGGCTCAGTACTCAGCAGAGACTTGGTACCAGCAGTGACTTGGTACCAGCAGACTTGTACCAGCAGAGACTCTGTACTCAGCAGAGACTCTGTACTCAGCAGAGGCTCGGTACTCAGCAGAGACTTGGTACCAGCAGACTTGTACCAGCAGAGACTCTGTACTCAGCAGAGACTCTGTACTCAGCAGAGACTTGGTACTCAGCAGTGACTTGGTACTCAGCAGAGACTCTGTACTCAGCAGAGACTCTGTACTCAGCAGAGGCTCAGTACTCAGCAGAGACTTGGTACCAGCAGTGACTTGGTACCAGCAGAGACTCTGTACTCAGCAGTGACTCTGTACTCAGCAGAGACTCTGTACTCAGCAGAGACTCTGTACTCAGCAGAGACTCTGTACTCAGTAGAGACTCTGTACTCAGCAGAGATTTGGTACCAACAGAGACTCTGTACTCAGCAGGGACTTGGTACCAGCAGAGACTCTGTACTCAGCAGTGACTCTGTACTCAGCAGTGACTTGGTACTCAGCAGAGACTCTGTACTCAGCAGAGGCTCAGTACTCAGCAGAGATTTGGTACCAACAGAGACTCTGTACTCAGCAGAGATTTCGTACCAGCAGAGACTCTGTACTCAGCAGTGACTCTGTACTCAGCAGAGACTCTGTACTCAGCAGAGACTCTGTACTCAGCAGAGACTCTGTACTCAGCAGAGACTCTGTACTCAGCAGAGACTCTGTACTTCAGCAGAGACTTGGTACCAGCAGAGACTCTGTACTCAGCAGAGATTTCGTACCAGCAGAGACTCTGTACTCAGCAGTGACTTGGTACTCAGCAGTGACTTGGTACTCAGCAGTGACTTGGTACTCAGCAGAGATTTGGTACCAGCAGAGACTCTGTACTCAGCAGTGACTCGGTACTCAGCAGTGACTTGGTACTCAGCAGTGACTTGGTACTCAGCAGTGACTTGGTACTCAGCAGAGACTCTGTACTGCAGTGACTTGGTACTCAGCAGAGATTTGGTACCAGCAGAGACTCTGTACTCAGCAGTGACTTGGTACTCAGCAGTGACTTGGTACTCAGCAGTGACTTGGTACTCAGCAGAGACTCTGTACTCAGCAGAGACTCTGTACTCAGCAGTGACTTGGTACTCAGCAGAGACTCTGTACTCAGCAGAGACTCTGTACTCAGCAGAGACTTGGTACCAGCAGTGACTTGGTACCAGCAGACTTGTACCAGCAGAGACTCGGTACTTCAGCAGAGATTTGGTACCAACAGAGACTCGGTACTCAGCAGAGATTTGGTACCAACAGAGACTCGGTACTCAGCAGAGACTCGGTACTTCAGCAGAGATTTGGTACCAGCAGAGACTCTGTACTCAGCAGAGATTTGGTACTCAGCAGGGACTCTGTACTCAGCAGTGACTCAGTACTCAGCAGTGACTTGGTACTCAGCAGTGACTTGGTACTCAGCAGTGACTTGGTACCAGCAGAGACTCTGTACTCAGCAGAGATTTGGTACCAGCAGAGACTCTGTACTCAGCAGAGATTTGGTACCAGCAGAGACTCTGTACTCAGCAGTGACTCAGTACTCAGCAGTGACTCATTACTCAGCAGTGACTTGGTACTCAGCAGTGACTTGGTACCAGCAGAGACTCTGTACTCAGCAGAGATTTGGTACCAGCAGAGACTCTGTACTCAGCAGTGACTCAGTACTCAGCAGTGACTCAGTACTCAGCAGTGACTTGGTACTCAGCAGTGACTCGGTACTCAGCAGTGACTCGGTACTCAGCAGTGACTTGGTACCAGCAGTGACTCAGTACTCAGCAGTGACTCAGTACTCAGCAGTGACTCAGTACTCAGCAGTGACTCGGTACTCAGCAGTGACTCTGTACTCAGCAGAGACTCTGTACTCAGCAGAGACTCTGTACTCAGCAGAGACTTGGTACCAGCAGTGACTTGGTACCAGCAGACTTGTACCAGCAGAGACTCTGTACTCAGCAGAGACTCTGTACTCAGCAGAGACTTGGTACTCAGCAGTGACTTGGTACTCAGCAGAGACTTGGTACTCAGCAGAGACTCTGTACTCAGCAGAGGCTCAGTACTCAGCAGAGACTCGGTACTTCAGCAGAGATTTGGTACCAACAGAGACTCGGTACTCAGCAGAGACTCGGTACTTCAGCAGAGATTTGGTACCAACAGAGACTCGGTACTCAGCAGAGATTTGGTACCAACAGAGACTCGGTACTCAGCAGAGACTCGGTACTTCAGCAGAGATTTGGTACCAGCAGAGACTCTGTACTCAGCAGAGATTTGGTACTCAGCAGGGACTCTGTACTCAGCAGTGACTCAGTACTCAGCAGTGACTTGGTACTCAGCAGTGACTTGGTACTCAGCAGTGACTTGGTACCAGCAGAGACTCTGTACTCAGCAGAGATTTGGTACCAGCAGAGACTCTGTACTCAGCAGAGATTTGGTACCAGCAGAGACTCTGTACTCAGCAGTGACTCAGTACTCAGCAGTGACTCATTACTCAGCAGTGACTTGGTACTCAGCAGTGACTTGGTACCAGCAGAGACTCTGTACTCAGCAGAGATTTGGTACCAGCAGAGACTCTGTACTCAGCAGTGACTCAGTACTCAGCAGTGACTCAGTACTCAGCAGTGACTTGGTACTCAGCAGTGACTCGGTACTCAGCAGTGACTCGGTACTCAGCAGTGACTTGGTACCAGCAGTGACTCAGTACTCAGCAGTGACTCAGTACTCAGCAGTGACTCAGTACTCAGCAGTGACTCGGTACTCAGCAGTGACTCGGTACTCAGCAGAGACTCTGTACTCAGCAGAGACTCTGTACTCAGCAGAGACTCGGTACTTCAGCAGTGACTTGGTACTCAGCAGAGACTCTGTACTCAGCAGTGACTTGGTACCAGCAGAGACTCAGTAGTGACATCACAGCGTACATCACAGCTCTGCAGGCTGTTCATTGGTTGTGTGTCTGCTGTTAGAAAACGATGTCATAGACGTACATAAAGATATCTGCTCACGTGCAGCACATACATACATGTGTTCTTTATAGATCATTTATACTCAAATATTAACGAAAAATTCAAATGTTCTGCCTAGAACCCAGTACCATGTTCCCTCAACACTAGTACAGAGAACATGACCGTGTCTCTGAGAAGGAACACAAAGAGTTACAAACTGAAGAGAAAAGTTTCAGACTAGTAAAGGAAACGTATGAACCTGAATCTGGAGAACAGACCTGATCTGCCTGAGACGTCTGATCACAGATGAGACTGATCGGCCTGTGAGAGACGTGTGCTCACTACAGCTCAGTGAACAGGACGTCCTGAGCAGCGCTCACTAACACGGACTCTGTTTAGCCTCTGCAGCTGCTCACCGCTCAGTTTGGGGTCCGTCTTCCTCCTGGATCTGTCTTTGCCTCTCAGCCTGGAGAAGGTTCTCTTCAGCAGAGGCTCGGCCATAGTGGTCCCCCCTCCTCCTCCTCCTCCTCCTCCTCGGTCCTCCTCGGTCCTCCTGGACGGGGAGAATCCAGCAGGAGAAGAGGGGTCAGCGCTCTTTCATCACGTCCATGTCTCCGACTCCTCGTTCACTTTGACTCTGAGAGCTGCAGAACAGGAAATGAATTCCACACATTCTTTCCCAAACTCCCCCTCCTCCTCCTCCCCCGGTCCCTCCTCCCACTCTCCTCCCTCCACATTGAGAGAGAGAGGACTCATGGGAAATGTAGTCCTGAGACAACTGAATGTTCTGTTTTATTTCTTTAATTCAGTTTTGAAGAGGAAGTTAACTTCAAGTCAAACTAAACTTTGTGTAATGACATATTTCCTGTGTCTGGTGTCTCATACGGGACACAGTGTCTCGTCGATCTCAGACACTTTGTTTTTCATTACTTTAGTTGTCGTGAATCATTGAAGGTGTTGTTATTATTATTACTTACTATCATTATTCCTGTCGTCTCCCTTCTGGCAGACGGAGCAACACAAACACATGAGGTACGCCTACAGGTGAGCTCGCCGCTGCACACAGAAACAGTTCTCAGTAATTACTGATCAGGCTGCACCGCCTGCTCCAAATATTTTACAAATGCAGCCGTAACACGACATTCCTTTTTTCTCTGCAGCATCAGGAACTTTTCCTGGACGTCTTAACGTTTTTCAGCTTTTGAGTTTTGTTAGTTCAGTTTTATTTTGTTAAATCCAGCATTGTGTGTTCATGTGGGCTTTACTTCCTGTTTTATTTTGTTAAATCCGTGCTGTGTTTTTATTTTGTAGTGTTCTGTCTCTTTGCTTTGATTGGCTGAGTGTTTCCACCTGTGTCTGCTCTGTCTGCAGGTCTGCGTTTGGTCTCGTGTCTCTTCTGCTTCAGGTTTTGTGGACTTTCGATTGTTGCCTTGTTCCTGTTTTGGATCTCCGTGTGCTCCATGAACTGGCTGCTTCACCTTTAGTCTGGGACCAATTCTTCTTTTGTTTCATGGTGATGATCACTGAGAAGACTAGTTCCTCTACTCCTGTGTCTGCACTTTGAAATGATAACAGTATTAGCATGACTGCGTAGAAAACACACGAAATCTGACACGCCCACCAAACGGGAGAAAACATACCTCGAAGCCCGTTGTTCCAAAGAAACATGTCGTTCAATCAGAAAACACTTGATGGTCCCCGTGTCCGAACAGGATTGGGTATAAAAGCCTTGGTGTTTGCGGCACCTTCTGCTTGGAACCTTCTTCAGAACTCGTTGAAACTGACTGACAACTCTGAAGGATCTGGAGCAGGTGAACATTGGTCAGTATTGCTGTTTATAAAGTTGTATTCTGCCTATATGTACTGTATGTGTACCTGATGTCTTTTATATGTTGGAAACTGTCCTTTATGTTCTTTCATGCTGCCTCTTGGCCTGCTCTCTCTTGCAAAAGAGATTTTAATCTCAATGACACTCACCTGATTAAATAAAGGTAAAATCAAATAAAAATATTTTCTGTGACTGTTGTCAGTGAAATGAACCAGTTTGAATTGATCCAGTAAAAAACTGATGTTTACAACTCGTGCAGGTCACATGATCAGCTGGTTTCACCACTGCAGAAGGGTGAGGAGTGATTTGCTGATGAAGATTTTCAGAGAAACAAGTGATGAGGAGGAAGCAGCTTCATCATGTCTCAGTTTGTCCACCAGATGGAGACAAACACCAGGAAACCCTCAACACTGCAGGAGGAAAATAAAACAAACCATTCTGTTTGGTAAATGGAATTGGCAGCTTTATTAATAGTTTATGCATATTTAGTCATTTGGTTGGTATAAAGCTGTAAAGTACAAAAGACCAACAGGTGAGTAGTACATGTAGTATTTTTTACTTTTAACATTATTATAATTGATTATCAATCATTATTTTATTTATATTATTCATGTTTTATATTTTTTATTCTATTTCAGCACGCGGAGCTGAGAGAAGAAGAAGATGAAGAAGAGGAGAGAGAAAGGTTTGTCCTGAAAGGCGACATGAGGTTTCCATCCAGCAGGGGGCGCAACGCCTCCACGCTTCTGTCTTTCTTTTCATTGGCTCATTTCCTGCTCTGTAAACATCTGAAGAACAGTTTGGTTCTACTGTTTAAACATGACCAGCTGATTATTTGAAGGTATAATCAATAACAAAGTTTAAAGAAACAGCTCAGCGAGTGATTTTTCCTCCTCTGATCACTTCTTTTAGTTCTGTCTCGTCCTGCGGTCTGTGAAGGCCTGACGGCGGCGTCCTGAACAGACGATCAGAGGACACGCCGCGATTGGACATCTGGAGCCGCCACTCAAACCTGCATTCATTAACCTCCTCTGTTAATTAATTAGTGACACGTCAGGTTCAATTAGGAGCAATTAACGATGCGGAATGATGTTAATCGACTCTGATCACGTCGCCTGTCAGACCTGACCGGGGGCAGTGCGGCCTGTCAGACGAGCACGAGGGCCTCGGAGAATCAGCATTCATGATTTCACTTTAAATCTTTAATTACTTTTTCTCATTAATACAATCAATCAATAATAAAATCTGGTGTTTCATTAAAAAAGTGAGACTGAAACTTTGTTCTTCTTGTTCTCACCTGATGTTTTCTCAGGCAGAAACATAAAGAGAGAATCCACAAAGAAGAAACTCAACGATTTCCCCTCGTCCGGTGGAAACAGGAAATGACTTCAGACTGAAACAGCCTGCACTGCAGTGAACGCAGCGTGTCGAGTTCATTGTCTCCAGTTTCTGCCTGTTTCACTCTGCTGGTTGGACGTCAGGGCTCAGCTCACGAGGAGTGACGATGTTGGTGTTATCACCAGAAGAGACCAGAACATATTTGAACACTATTTTAAAGAAATATTGGGGGTCTGAGGCTCTGAGGATCTGGGGGGTCTGGGGGTCTGAGGATCTGGGGGGTCTGGGGGTCTGAGGATCTGGGGGGTCTGGGGGTCTGAGGGTCTGGGGGTCTGAGGCTCTGGGGGTCTGGGAGTCTGTGGCTCTGGGGGTCTGAGGCTCTGAGGGTCTGGGGGTCTGAGGCTCTGAGGATCTGGGGGGTCTGGGAGTCTGTGGCTCTGGGGGTCTGAGGCTCTGAGGGTCTGGGGGTCTGAGGCTCTGAGGATCTGGGGGTCTGGGGGTCTGAGGGTCCCGGGGGTCTGGGGTCTGAGGCTCTGAGGGTCTCTGGCTCTGTGGGTCTGAGCAATAGACAGGTGGATTTTCTGCATCCTGTGTTAGCTTGTGGTGCCAAATCTAAATCTAAAACGGTTTTTAGCTGAAGTTGCTTTTTTGTTTCTTCTGTATTTAAATTAAATTCTTTAAAAAATTCTTCTTTTTGTGCAAAACATTTTCATTTATTGGTTAATATTTCTGCAAGATGGCGACAGATGCTTTCACAAGCGTGATGCGTTCGCTGTCTTGTTGCCCAGCATGATGCGTTCGCTGTCTTGTTGCCCTGCGTGATGCGTTCGCTGTCTTGTTGCCCTGCGTGATGCGTTCGCTGTCTTGTTGCCCTGCGTGATGCGTTCGCTGTCTTGTTGCCCTGCGTGATGCGTTCATTACAGAAAAGATGATTTTGTGTCGTTTTTATAAACAATGAAATGAAAGAAGAAAACTAAACAGAGACGACTGAAGAAACAGAAGAGTTATTAATTAATGACTCGTAGTTTATGAAATAAAATCACACTGTCATGTAGCAACGTTTTTATTTACAGAATATTTATCCTACAAATAGAAATCATTTCCTTCAGTGACGCTCGGTGTCCCTCCGCTCTTTATTCTGCAGAGTCTCATGTTGGACAGACTGTAAAGAACGGCAGACATTAAATCTGATGTTTAATCTCTAGAATATAGAGACATATCCTAGAGATTAAATCTATAAATATATCACATGTGTGTGAATCTCCTCACATATGAACTGTAAAGAGGAATCTCTGGTCCGACTCTCTCTGTTTCCTCTTGGTGGCGCTCTTTCCTCGCTCGCCCATCTCTCTGCTGGGATGGAGGGAATTCCCTGAACTGGGACGACTGGAAATCCCTCGGCAGCACACGCACACTCACAGGCTGAATCTGAAAGTGTTTCTGTGTTTGCAGCTGAAGGTCGAGCGCTTTGTTTCCTCTCATTTTATTTCCATTTTTGTGGCTCCTCGTCTGTTTCCCTGCAGCCGCACTCCAGTCAGACAAAAGAGTCAAATAAAAATAAAACACAGAGGAGACGAGGACAAAACGGTGAAATGCAGAAAAACAGCAGGATCAAAGCAGATGAAGGAGGTAAAATCTAAAAGAATAAAATGTGACAGAGGACTGATCAGCAGCCTGTCAGGCAGCGGCCAATGACACTCAGCCATCAGTTTGATTGGCAGCTGAGACAAACAGGATCGGATCAGCCCGTCATGATAAATCTGCTGACTTCACTTTTTAAAAGAGTTCAACCAGACTTCACCAGAAATAAAGCTGATTTAATCGGACTGATTTCTAACGTGTGGGATTTAAAACTTAGTGATGACGGGGAGGTCACACTGATTAACAAACTGCTTTATTAATCATGGCGAGGATTTACATCTGATTTCTGACGGGATTCTTCTCCAGCCTGATTTACTTCAGATCTGACTGAGGTCACTTGTTGTGATTTGACTGATTTCTAACCTGAACTGAACGATAAACATTTATGGAACTTGGCTGGTTTTGTTCCTGCTGTGCGGTTCGGGCTCAAGGTGACCCAGCTTTGCGTCTCTATAAAGACCACCGAGCTGAGGTCTGATTCCCCGGCTCGTTGCTGACGTCGGACCGGATCAGTTTACTACACTGAAGTAAAAATCAGAGGGATCATAAGATCAGACATGAGTGAGTTGAGTAACGTGGAAACAACACGGTGCAGATTTAAAATGTTAGGGAGGATCAGGCTGCTCGGATTAAACACAACACAGGAGGTCCAGAATCAGAGGGTTCAATGGGACATGGTGGTGTAGCTGATGGAGGAGTTCAGATGACTGGGTTTACTCTACGACTCAAACCAAACACATCTCCGTCGGCCAATCACGGTGTTCTGTCAGCCGGCGTTTCACTGCGAGTCCTCAGGTCCTCGCTGTAGCAGCGAGCTGGCGTCCGAGTGCACCCTGATCTCCGCCCGGCTGATTCCATCCCTCCACGCCCGCCTTCCGGCCACAGGAAACGTTTCTGCAGCTTCAGGCCGCTCCGCACTCTCCGGCCTCCGTCGCCGCCTCACAGGTGGAAACATCCTCGGCTCAAAGAATCATCCGTCGAAAGTGCAGATCCCGGGGTCAGGGTCTGGGACTATCCGCCGGCGAGCCCCTGGTAGCTTTCACAGCTTCGGTGACGTGATACGCTCCGTCTATCCTGAAAGAAGACCAGGCCTGATCCCTATTTCGGCGTTGACTGAGTCCTAAATACAGAAAGAACATCTGTCCCGGCAGCCGTTCGATTCCCAGTCACTCTGAACTGGTCGTGCTGGTCCAAGGTTTCCTTTATTCGGGTCATTACAGTTTTAAGTTCTGAGGCGCTTTGTTCAAATGGGAACGTTGTTTTCATTTTCCCAGCATCCACCTGTCCAACGGGGAATCAATCGAAGGGCCCCTGCCACCTGATAAGTAATTTGGGGCTCCTTGTCTGCTGGTGCAACTTGTTAGTCCCGTTTGTCGGTTGCTGAAGGGCTGTTCAAGCTCCAGGTCCTGAGCTGCTCTTGTGGACTCTCAGGTCCAGGACGTACTGGACTTCATTTCTGCTTGGGCTCGGACCTTCGTCCCAGCTTTCTCTAAGCAGGTCCAGCACCCCAACGTGGTTTCCTGCCAAATAGCAGTTCTAAGGGAGAAAGTCCGGTCGAGGCCTGCGGTTGGTTAACCAACTCCCATCCAGGTAGACGCACGCCAGCCATGTACGTCTCCACGAAAGCAGGGCCAATAAAATCGGGACGTTATCTGGTCCACCCGTTGGGTTATGTGGTTAACGAGCTTCTGAACGAGCTTCTGAAATGACAGGTGAGGTGATGTGGTTCTGGGTCAGGATCTCGAGCTGTTTTAAATAACGGGTGTGAGATCACGTCGAGTCAGTGTCACTGATCCAGCATCAGACTCCTCAGAGCCTCCGTCCACATCAGGAAAACTCCCCAACAGTCCTTCAGAAGAACTGAAGAAAGCTCTGGGAGACAGGGAGCGGGGCCCTCTCAGGGACGGGCCCTCTCGGGAGTAGGAGCCACCTGGAAACAGGACAGAGGTCCGATCTGGTGATTCAGGTTTCTCCTGTGTTCTACACACACGCTGACGGACTGCGTGTTTCTCTCTGTTTAAAGCTTCTGAAGTTTAAACTGACTGAATGTTTTTTACTGAGTCAGCCTTGTGCGTGCGCGTGCATGTGTGCATGCATGTGTGCGCGCGTGCACGTGCGTGTGTGCGTGTGTGTGACAGCTGGCCCATCTGACTTTGCCGTGACATCTGGGAAACCCGCATGTGTGCCGCCGTGAACGCCGGTTGATGTCGCTATTTAAATGCAAATGTGTGTGTGTGTGTGTGTGTGTGCGTGCGTGTGTGTGCGCGCACACACACACACACAAAAGGAAACACTTCACACACAATGAAGACGGGGAGGTTTAACACACACACTCTGCAGCGCTGCGGCTCGTCTGTAAATCAGAAGATAAACTGCAGGAGAAACGACATTAATTCAATTAAAAATGATGTTTGGTCATTTTGTTATCAGTTTTTTTATTTAAGATATTTAATTTACATTTAATAATCAATAATGTGGCCTCTTTTGTTCGACATCACTCTGCTGTTAATTTACAGGTTTAAGGTTTTAAATTCAGCAGTGAACAGTGAAATAAAGAGAGATTTATTTCACCTTCAACGTTTGAGAAAAGAGATCTTTATTACCAAATGTACAATTTTAAACTAAATTAAACTAATAAACAGAAAAGAGGATAAAATAAATGTCACATATTGTGAGATTGTTTCTGACAAACATCTAATTTATTGCATTAAATGGTTTTAAGGTGGAATAAATGCAGATTTGTTCCTTCATCAAGTGAAATAAATCTGAATTATAATTTAGACTAAATGTTCGACTTATTCAGAAGCTCCTTGGGAAAACAGACGATTTAAAGGCTGTTGCAAAAATAAAGGACAGAAAGAGGACAAAGTAAAATAATCAGGTGAATAATAAAAAGGTGAAAAACAAAGGAGAGCATAATTGATCAGGTGCGTCAGGTTGATCGATCACCTGCTGCCGACGGATCGGGTTTTAAGGAGGACGCTGACTGTAACTGAGTTTGTCTTCATGTAAATGAGATCAAATGTGAAACAGCGTTCAGTCAGAGACCGAAGTCAGTTTGAAGCCTTTTAAAGCTGCTCGAGCACCAAAACCACACTGACTGATTTTCTAATTCATCTGAGTTTTTTCCTGCTTTTCTTTTCAGCACCTTTTCTTTCTTTTTAAATGAACGTCTATAACAACAAAAGCATTTTCCATAAATTTACATTTATAAATATACTGTAATAAATAATATGCACTGTGGACTTAATATGTATGTAAAATATAAACATTTGCCCTGTTTACTGAAAATTTAAGATTTGGAGATACAAGGTTTCACTTGGATGGAGATGAAGAAGAAAAACTGAAAATACAATAAACAACAATAAAAACGTTAATTAAATAATTAAGAAGTAAAATATTTTCATCACTTCAAATAAAATTATTTTACTGAATCCAGAAGAGCCGAGAGACCGAGGAGGAGGAGGAGGAGGAGGAGGAGGAGGATCGTTGTTTACCCCCCCCCCCCCCCGCAGGTCTGGGATTAGTCCCGAAAAGACAGCCGCCACCCCCCCCCCCCCCCCCCCACACACACACACACAGTCAGATATTTGTCCATTTAAAAACAATCAC